ACGTGATAGATGGACGATCACACAACGGAACGACGTTGAGAAACCGTGAGAAAAAAAGAACTCGACTAGAATAGATTAGAAACTCCAGTCGACGGGAAGACGACAACTCCGCTGACAATTTTCACGCGCGAAACGCGATGTTTTAACCCTCCCGTGACAATAATCTCCCAACTTCGGAAATTCCGCGAGAAACGGATGAAAGACGAGCCGCGGGCGGCAGAAGGCTTTAAAACCGTTAAGACAATGTCGACAATGAGCGGGAAGCAGAGCCGTGAGAGAAGGAAGATGTTCTTCGCGTGAGGGAGGAACGGGCTAGAGTTGCCGAAATGGTGTTCCGTCGTGGAATATTCTCCTCCCTCGAGCTTTCCTCTCTCTCTCTCTGTTCCGGCGAAAATAGCCCGCCGCGAGGAGAGAGAGAGAGAGATTCGCACTTTGTCTCGCTAAAAGGATCCAAGTGGAATTGCAATAGCGAAGTAAACTATCGTATCGATTTAGCGCGTCGCTCCGACAAAGACTCCCGGGCCTCTCTTCCGTCATTTCGCTTTGCCGGAATCGGAATCGCGCACAATTCGGCCCCCGAGTCTAATCTATTTTTCTCGTTTCCCCGAAATCGAGAGAGATGTAAAGTCCTTTATCGCGCATTTCCCCGAAAATGCGAATTACCTTCGGAACGAATTTGTGACGCTGTCAATTCTCGCTGTCACTTTTTTCCCGATTTTTTTTTTTTCATTCAATTCACCATTTATCATGAATATCAGGATATTCTTCGCCGATCAAAATTCAGCATTTAACGCCAAAGGCGCGGTATTAATCGCGAAATAAATGGGCCATTTTCTATATTGTTCGACACAATATGTGTTTGACGATTCTCGCGCGAGAATACTAATTATTTAATCCTCTGTATCTACGGAGAGCGATCGAAGACGATCCTCTCGATTCTCTCGCGAACAAACGAACCGGAGATTGTCTCTCTGCCTATCGCTTTGTTTCGCACTCGAAGGATCGATCCCTCGCGCGTAAACTGCGCGCATCCCGGATAAATTGCGAGCGTATAAATGCTCCATTCGCCGACGAGACGACGACGACGACGACGACTCATTGTTCCGCGCGAACGTTTGCTTTCACCCGGTGAACGCTTCGAGGACCCCGGCGTCATCATCTCGAGGACGCGATTCCGCTATGGGCAAAATCAATTAGTGGGGAACGCGGGATTATTCCGACCGATTCGCTTTCGTCGAGTGCTTGCACGATCATCTCGGGATTTTGTCCCGAGAGAGGCGAAATATATATATACAACCTCGTATCGAGATTGGATCTCGAGGTAATTACGATTATTCCTTGATCAAATCAATTCCTGTCAATCGTCTTCGAATGATTAGATCGCGGATAAGAACTAAAAAATTTCTGAAAAAATATTTTCGTCATTCGTTACTTCGAACGCGTCAAGGGGTAGAGAACCGTGTTTCTCTCTCCCTCGAGAGATGCCGAAATAATACGCCGGGTATACACACATAATCTCGACGTGTCTATGTTCGAGCAAGAAATTTCCCAGCAGCAGCAGAAGCAGCAGCAGCTCAGCGCGGCACAGCAACAGCTGGAGTGTTTCTCGTTACGGAGATAATCTCTCTGTGCGCGCGCGTGCAAATGGATCGCTCTAGAGGAGAGGCCCCTGTGTTTGCGCTGGCTGATGCGCCGGGTCCATCCTCGAGTACCCTGCGCGAGACTTTGGCGAGATGGGGAGATGGAAACAAGGAAACACAGAGAGGAGAACGCGCCGAATAGGTTCGCCCGCGAATCCGTTCGTGGAAATCCTCTCGTGGAACCGGCGCCTCGTTGCCGCTTATAAATAGCCCGGGCTTTAGTCGGGAGAGGATGAACCGAGAGGATCGAGGGAAGAATTGAAGAGAGAGAGAGAGGAGAAACACATAAGCGGGTGATCTATTTCCGATGGATGCTCTGGGCGCGTATGGTTTTTCGCGCGATTTGCCAAATCCCTGTTTTTTAACTCTTTTTAAATTGTCGAATTCATTTTCTCGCCATTTCTTTCTCTATATCGTTCTCTAATTTCCGGCAAATTACATTCTCGCGATAGTTTCCGTGTAATAATGACGCCTCGTAGATATTATTCGATAATGGATGCTACGAACGTGAACGTTCTTTCATTTTCTCTTTGAAATTAAATTTTTCAATCGGCAAATGTGAAGTCATTTCATTATCCTCGGACGCAGAAAGAGAGGAATTTGATATTGGAATAATGGAACGAAAGAAAGACATCAGAGATTTATATTCGGGGACTCGCGCACTCGATGTTACTCAGCTAATAAACAATAAAAAAAAGTCTTCCACCGATGCATTATGCACATTAATTCGATTTCTTTTGCAGCTTAACTCTTTTATATTTTTTTCTACTTTGTTTGATATGACAGATTTAAAACAATTTTTCCAGCGCATTGAACAAAAATAAATTTTCCTCGGAGAAGTGATAATTTGCGCGTACATTTTTTTTTATTCGATCGACAAAGCGCAGAAAAAATATACATCGCTATGGGAGGTAATTTCAGGCTATCGAAGATACACAGAGATTGTGTTCACGACAGAATTAAACAATGATCGCGCGGCTCGAAATTAGGCGCGGACTGAAAATAAACCTGGGAATGCGAAATCGAATTTCAACGCGACCGTGGCTTCGTTTCCCGCTTGCTTTCACGAGACATTTAATGGTTGCGAGTCCCATCGTTCTTTCCCTTTTTTTTTTTATTTTTTATTACGATATCGCCGACTCTCCGCCCGTAGCTTCCGAAGGGTATGTTTGTTAAACACTACATAAATACAAACACACACACACACACATTAAAATACACTTATTATACAATATACACGACATGTATATGTACAAACGTATATATATATAAAGAATATATATAGATAGATAGATAAAAACATTTACATACGTTAAGAATATGTACTAGCCTAGTGCCTACTATGTTCGTATTTATGAGGAAGATAAAGCTCGTATAACTCGTTCTTTCCCTGTGCGAAACATTCAACATTGTAAATATAAACGAAACGACGTAAAAATATATATGAGTGTTTAAGGAGAAAAAAAAGAGATACGGAATGAATCCGAGCCAGCGGAGAAGCCACCTTCAAATTGTGTTCAAAATTCTTCGGAGACACTTCCGAACTGATAAATTGACCAGGATCTCTTCGTATAAAGAAACGGAGGAGGAAAGAGACCATAAATGAGACGAGAATCTATAATTAAGCGAGAAATCTTTTTCCAAGCGAGAAATCGCGCGCTCGCAATTTGAGATGGTTTCTTTTTCGGCGGTCTTGTTGATTTTTTTCGTTTACATATACACCGCCTCTCTTTACTTTACACTTAATAATCATTAAAATAAAGCAATTAAGCGACGCGCCGGCGAGAAAAAAAAGAGACCGGTAAATATCCCTTAAAGTACGAGAGCAAGTGCAAGGACTGGCCGCTAACTGACGTAGTTGAGAGCTCTATGGAAAATTGGCAGTAAGAACGAGAGAAGGAAGAAAAGAGAGAGGAAAAGGAGCCCGAGTGACAGAGAGTGAGTGTGTGTGAAACACAGAGCTAAATGCGAGGCACTCACAGCAGGAGGGGGCTTTTTGTGTGGAGGTAGCACTTTTAGATTAGTGGCGCGTAGAGACTAACATCGGGTTGTGGGAGGTAGTGAATGAGCTTTTTCTCCCCCTACCCTACTTTCTCCCTTCCCTGAGCTTTTTAGCACGGCTCGTGTTGTGGTGTTGCGAGGCGAGAACTCTTCTGTCGCTTCTGCAGTGCGCTAATTATTGCGATCCATTAACCGGCGTGCAACACACACACACACACACGCACATTACATACATGTATATGTTGTATATAAAACAAACACACATTCATCATCACAGCACTATTCATACACTCTCTGTGTCTAGCTCCTTAACTGACAATCACTTGTATGTCTTTGCCGTTTTGTCGCCTTCTGGTTTTTGGTTTCCTCCTTTGATAAAGACGGATTTTTGCCGCATCTTCTTCCCACCCAACCCTCTCCTCACACACAACCTTGCGAGAGATCGTGTTTCTTTTCAGGAGACTAAAATATCATTTGTTCGTAGAACGTGTTTGGTGATGCGACACCCGCGAATGATATCTTGTCACTTTCGAGAATCAGTTGTCTTAATTACTAAATCAACGTAATAGACTCTTTCCAAGTAATATTTTAATTATACTTGTATGACCTCAACAAATCAGCATCATGTTATTATAATTAATAATATTAATAATAATAATAGGAACGATATATTTAATTCGACCCAAACTAGCCAAGAAAATTTTTATTTTATTTCCACAACGTTTCGACCATCTGTTTTTGGTTCTTTTCAAGTGAAAAATTCCTTGATAAAAGCGTAGATAGTTGACACTGTTGTCATGATTATTATAATCATATTGTTTAATATTTTAACTGTTTATCAAGTTTTTCTTGATGGTTTGTGGGCTGGGTTTGGGTCGAATTAATATATCGTTCCTATTTTAAATACCACTAGCGACGTTTTAAGTATTCAATTTGATTAATAATAATATACGATGATGCTGATTATTTTCTATATTAATCATTACATTTCGGCTGGAACTCGAACTTTATTTCAACGGATCCTTTCGAAGAGACCAAAAATATTTAGCGGCAAAAATCGATAACAATTATCTTTACGAGCAGCACAGAGTAAATCTTAATTGTGCTTTGGAAAAACATACCAGTACGTTTTCTCAAACATATCTTATCTCTCACAGCCGCTTCTACGAGATGAGAGACACCGATTTCCGTCCATCCTCTCTTCGACATAATGATCAATCATCACCAAACACGGTTCGGTATCGCTTTTGCACTAACGGACTGCGATATATATACATATACATATATCTATATAAATATACAAGAGTGCAATGAGATATACGGATACGTTTGAACGATATGGTTTTATCGTCTTTCAAGGTACAGATGCCAGCGTGCTGCAGCATCAGGGTCCGTTGCTGACGAGCGGAGCCGTAATCGGCATTGTCGTCGCAATGTTATTCATCATCTTCATCATCATCGATGCCATCTTCTGCTGCATGCGCAAGACAGGTAAGCCGGCATTGAATCATCCCCGTAATGTGTTCTCCGAGAATAGATCATTGATAAATTCTCTCTCTCGCATCATGTATACACATAATAGAGGTGACGTACATATATGTACGTTCGATTGTCAGAGTTATGATCGTATCAATTAAGGCCATTATTTTCATCGTCAATTATTTGCTGATCGCGCGTCATGTCGCCATTATCAAGCTTGATATTCGTCATTATTATTGAAATCACTTTTGATGTCAATTGAAATTGCATTTGGGGCTAATGAAAATAATGTTAGCGGAGTGAAAACTATCGATTCCAAATTTATTTTCGAGAATTTGTAGAGAATCTTACAGAAGCGTACAATAATATTTTGTCCAAACATTTTATTAGCGAATATAAAAATAATGAATAAATATGAAAAATATACTAAGTGAAAGAGATGTAAAAATCGAGAGAATGATCGAAAATTATTATACTTGACGTGCTTCGTGTTTTGATTAATAATATATTTTAGTATAATATACATATATTTGCATTTATGCAATTTTTGTGCATTATAGGGATTATTTACATCATATGAAAATAAACTGAAAACTAAAACTGAAATATATGATATAAATTTAAAAATTTATTAAAATTGATTACGCGATTTTTTAATCGAATAAAAATAATTAATATGAAAAAAATATACTAAATAAAGAGATGTAGAAAATTAAGAGAGAATGTTCGAAAAAATATTATATACTTGATGCTTTGTGTTTTAGGTTGATAATATATATTAATTTAGTATAATATATATTCGCATCTATGTTCTTTTTGTGCATTACAGGGATCATTTACATCATATGCGAACGATCTCGACGGAAACCAGTCGACGAGGAGGATACAAAGTTGGGCAGGTGAGTTCACGTGTCTCAAATACACAGTATTTGATATTTATAAATGTATTTTACGAGATACTTTTTTGTGAATATATTTCTATATATATACACAATTTATACACCGCATCTCGTTCATACTGTTACATATGTACTCTACAATGTGCTTTGGCAAGTCTAGCGCTACTTTATCGCGTTATCGAAACTTTGCACCCGTCGTCGAACTTTCGTTCACACATTTACGGAGCGTTTCTTTTCTTTTACGCCACTCGTCGGAGTTGGGGCATTTACTTCTCGTTCCGTTCCGATAATTCGATTCGATTTTAGTTCGCCCGAAGTTTAGTTCAGTTTCCAGTTTGCCGATTATCTCGCGCGTTCTCGGGATTGTTGCACGAATTCTGGGCTTGGTTTACATATATATGTATGTGCGTTTACTTTTGTCGATTTGTCCTCGCGCGTCGAGAAGAAGGCACGACACGCGAGAAGTAGAAGAAAGGGATGGTAAACGGATGCGATGACGGTGGTAGAGCCGCGATATCGGACGTTAATAAAAGAGAGTAGCCCGCCGCTAGACGCAGAGTGACAACAACTTTTAACTCCTCTCGTATTTCTCTCTTTTTCTTTTTTTATCGGTAGTCTTTACGGTTGGCGGTTTCCATTGCCGTATTGCGACCAAAAAATGGCCAATGTCGCCGGGGTCACGGCCATCCCAGACTCGGGTAGTGGAAAAAATACCATTAGATTGGTCAGACACACTGCCATGTAAGAGAGAAAACGATCTATAAGCGAAAATCAGTAAGAAGCATGGCTCCTCACGAAGGGGTTCCTCCGACACGGCTTTCCACTTTGCATGAAGTTTTTTTTCCTTTTTTTCTGTTACCTTTCTCTCTCTCTCTATTTCTCTCTCTTTCTGACTTCTCGCAGCGACGATGGTCGCTCATCCCCGAATTCGCCCAACGGCGTTCGGGGATGAACCGTCTCGTAAGGGAAGTCCCGATACGCATCAAAGGGAATTCGACGAGCATGAGAGAAAATACGTTCGAGTCCGACGCATTCACTGTGCCGCCAACCACTCTTCGTGTACTGCAATACATTGATTTTTTGTTCTTTTTTTTTCTTTTTTTTTTTTTTTTTTTTTTTACAGTCCTGCGTTTTGGGCCGGGCTGCTCGTGTTTGCTCGTGGCTACATAAGCAATGGAGTTTTTTTCTATTTTTCTTGAAATTTCTATGTGAGACAAGTTGCGAATAACTTGGACGAGTTATCAACTAGTCTAATGGACTACATGTTTATTTGTTTTCTCTTTCGGGCGAGATAAAAGCGCATAAGAATAACTATAGAAGATAGAGAAAAATAAGTTTATATAAGAAATGAAATTTTTAAAAATCAGCTGCAGATTATTTATTTTACTTGCAGTATATTGAAGATGAAAACTTTTCAATCGAAACAAGATCGAAAATCCTTACATCAATTTTTCAAATTGAGAAAGGATGTTTCATTTTAATTTATATTCGTTCGTATATTTGTTTCGTTCGGAAATAACGTAGATGTCAAATTTCGCACATGATTTTCGATATATGATTTAAGTATTATGCTGGATTATTTTTTAGCCTTCGAGCTGACACGCAACCTTATGATTTTGTTAAATTTTGCGCGTAGAAATCGCCGATACTCGCCTGAGCTTTGGCCATGCCGCATGCACGACACACTTGAAATAATGCTCACCTTTCATCCTTCAATCCTCATGGCAAGCACGCGAATCTTCCTCCTTTCTTGCCAGTACTTCCGTACTTTACGAAGCGCGAATGGCGGTGCGAGTAAACACTCGAGTCACTATATAACAATGACTTGATGTACCTTTTGAGCGAAATAGTGGTATAAATTGACACAGAGGGAAGGAAGAATTTGTCTTTACATATTTGTTGATGCGTAGAAAAGAAGATAAGACGGCAAAAGAGATCGTCCCGATTCCTCCCGAAGAAAATGAAAGAAATATATATACCACTGTTTCGTTCCCATCGGCTCGTATTTTAAATCATTTCGGAGAAAGAAAAAATTTCTCAGGAATTTTATACATTCACACAATCGTGATTGAAATTTCATATCCTCGAAAATGCGGGCATTTCAAAGAGATGTACAAAGCACGAGTTGTGAGAAGAAAATTAATTAATAAAAATAAAAGGAAAAATTGGAAAAAAGATTTAAAATATAATTAGAATTAAATATTATAGATTTTAAAAAATTGGAGAGAAAATTCTCTTTTCTTCTCTCGTGTCTTTCTTTTCCATCTCTCGCGCTACTTTGTGCATGTTTGCGCGCAAAAGTTGAACGCGTCTACTTGCAAATGCAAAACTCTCATCGTACCGTAATAAGCGCGGATTTCCCGGGGATTTATCGAAAAAGGATGACATTCCGCGGATAGAGAGAGAAAGAGAGAGAGAGAGACCGCGCATCTGTTTTTCTCTCCGAAACTCCTCTCACTGCGACGTTTCTCTTATACTTTGCGAGTGACAAGCATGCCTGACGTGTATATTCGATGTCGCACCACGCGCCGCATATGGACATGCTCTCTTTTCTCTTCTTTTCTTTTTTTTTTTTATCGCCCGACATTAGAAGTTAATCCGACGTCCAAACGCGAAGTCGCCAGTCTCGTTCGACGAATGTTATCGCATTGTTTTTTTCAGAGACGAGAAGGAGCCGCTGAAGGAGGAGAAGAAGATCACGCCGATCATCGACTCCGGATTACGTCGGGAGACCTCCATCACCTTCGACGGCAAGAGGTCCATCTCCAAGACCGGCTTTGTCGGCAAGGACTCAGCCGTCTAGATATTCTTCCGGCGTACTAGATTGTAAATCCGTTTCGGAAAGCGCAGCGCGGTTTCCGGCTAAAGTGTTCTCGAAAAAAAAACCAAGGAAAAAAATCCAAACCAGAAAGAAAGCAAATAAGAGAAGAAAAAAAAACGTGCAGAGCGGGATCGTCGGTCGTTCGCGAGCCCGCTCGTGGAAAGACGAGACGGAGGTTTTAGCGAGTCGCTACGCCCGGAATTTCGCCCGGACGGAGCCTCTCCCTCTGGTTGCTTTCTCGCCGTTCAGCTCGCTCTGCTTTTCGTTTTGTCCTCGCAAACGCGCGCGATTTCACGGTCGCAGCCCGACCCGCCTCTCCTTCTCCCTTTCGACGCCTCTTACGTAACGTGTTACACCGCGATACACCGCCTGTTCTCCTACATTTCCTTGTCGATCCCTTTCGGAAGCGCTTCCCGTATTATTGGCGAACTTGTGCTTCGTCGACTACTTTGTTGCGAAGTTCTCACTGCGCCTCTAATTTCGAAAGCAAGCTAAAGAAAAGAGAGGGAGAGAGGCGCAAACCTTTAAAAATCTGATGACACCTGTCTATTTCGAGTCAATCAACAAGATTCTTTTTAGATGTGAAGAAAATAATTATATCTGAAAATTTTTTAACAATTTACTCGTAACGCAAAAGTCTCGACTGATAATATTGTTAAAAATGAACAAAAGAATTTTTTCACCGTAAAATATTCTTCGTTGATGATCACACGTCAGGTATTTAAAAGGCTTGCCTCTCTTGTGAATGTAAAAGCAGTCTGAAGCTCTTTTATCCCGTCAGTATACTCGCCGAAGCATAACCGAAGGAGCACAGATAATCGATAGCTTACGAAAACGAGAAGTGCAAAGTGAACACAAGATATACTTTGGTAGTGATTGTTCTTAGGAGGAAGCTATAAATAATAATTGTAACTTAGCGCGTCTTGCAAGGAAACGTGGAGTAGGTAGATCGTTTGCGCGAGAATAAGAAGAAGGAGACGGTAAGAGGAATGTACAAAAAAAAATCGTGAATTGATAGAGGTCGATTTAGTGATGAACGCTTCGAGGCATCTTTTAGATTATCACATCTAGTACGCTGGGTAGTATTGCATCCCTTTGTCGCGCATACGCGCGCGCGACTTTATGAGGAAAGTCGCGTGGAAAGTCGTATCCTGTTGCGCTTAAAAATGGCAAGGACACGCTCTTTTCTGAGAGCAAATATTGCATTTAAGGAGTAGAAAACATATGCAACGTTCGCGTTCTGCGATATGTCACAGGCAGCTTCGATTATCTCATCGCTATCGAAAATATTTTTTTTATATTATTGTTTATTTAATTAGAAGTTACAAATATATCAGAAGTTTGTTCCGTGTGAAACATTTAACGGAACATAATGTCTCGATAGCGTTGAAAGAATCGAAATTATCCTTGTAACAAGAAAATGGTGAGTTAGATTTAGAGTTATCAATTAAGACGAAAAATACTTTTCGAATGTTTTTTTTTTTATTTATTACAATTATTTTGAGCGATTTTCTGACGTCGAAGAATTTGAAAAAGGCAGGCTCTTTGACATGAAATCTGTGACTGTAATAGGGTCACATCACTCCCCATTTTCAGACGAGAATGACGTTGAAGAGAATATGAGCGTTGCTCTTGTATATCCCACAAGCGCCAACAGAGGAAACACATACATTTTCTTTCCCTTTTCAAACGAAGGTTTTGCTCGATTTTGCAGCGACCTTCGAACTGTACATAAGCCACTTGAACAATCTATTATCTCTCTTCTCTCGCTCTCTTACCTCATTCCGTGTCTTTTCGATTAGGAACAGTCGAGACACGTAAACGGTAGATAGCTTTCACATGTGCGATATATCTTTTTGGCTGCGCACTTTTATTCCCTGATATCTCTGACTCCGCGATCGTAAATCTTCCGCGTTATTTTTTTTCTTTTTAATCCAAAGACTGATTCTTTTATATACCAAATCGATTGGAGACGTAATCGATTGTCGTTCAAACAGTCACTCAAGATAAATATCAAATTTTCCCCTATTTTTACTTCCATTCGTTATGCGCACGTGTTCTTGTTAAGTCTTACGATCGTATATGTGTCTGCTATAGTCATGAGTGAATTTCTACTTAAAATCTCGCATATCCCTACACAAGCGTTTATTATACATTTAATCGCGACTACATTTATCTTATCTCGAATAAGAGTTCTCGATATTCATCCTTTTTTTTAATCGTGATAATTTAAAATATGTTTTATAACATTATTATAGTTACCTCGTCAATGCAATGTGCGTGAGAGTGCCCAATTTTCACTCTTAAATGTCTTTTTTTTACTCTTTCTAAATATTTAGAAAATTTTATTTTTAATTTTTATTTACAAATTTTATTTTTAGAATTTATTCTTTTGTAAGGATGCATTTATAAGGATGAATTTTATTTTTAATTTTTATTTAAAAACTTTATTCTTTTATAAGGATGAAAAAATTTATTATATTAAAGTTTAACACGATGTGAAATAAGTAAGATGAAGATCTGAGCAATTCTTGCGACATTGCATTGCAGAAGTCAATATGATTATCAGTTGCGATTGTTCGAGTTCATAATACGTGATAGGACGCCGAAACGTTCGCGAGCAGCATTTAAGGAAAAACAATCGATACGCAAATTATAGTAGACTTCTGACGTGGAGATCTCGATGTATTACCTTGACATAAAAAAAAAGTCTCTCTGAATATGTATGTATAGTTTAATCAGAATGCAGGTGGCATTTATTGTGACAAGTATCGAGATGTGCACGAGGCTTGCCAATCGGATTTCGAGTCATCCGAATGCGAGAATAAGTATCGGAAAAGCTGCCATATATAATTAATTATATCCGAATAGCGAGTAAAGAAACAAAAAAAATTATACCACTCTCTTATCGTAATGTCTAAGATGGCTTTTTGCAGAAAGAAACGCAGTTAAAAATGTGATAAGTTTTTGTAAATGCTTGTAAACGTTTTCCCTTAACTGTAAGAAATATAAATCTTAAGACAGAGTTTTGGTAGGTTTTGAGAATATGTGCGCGGACACGGAACGCGTGTTCTCTCGCGAAAAGTCGCTGATGTGAACGGATTTATCCGAGGAAGAATAATCCGATCGCTCCATCAGATTGCTGTACAATCAAGTGCAATGTACTTTACTGAGTTTCTCGACATTTTTCCACTCTGTTACACCACTATGTGGATTCTAATGGAAGATTTTATCAATTGATAGATAGTTTTAATATACTCTTTGTCTTTTAAAATTAAATATAATTGAAATTAAATTTAAATTATATTAATCGTTTAAAATAATAATAATTACATTTCCATATAGAATCCAATATAAAACAACAAAGAGTACATTTCTATCAGATACTATATTGCATTTTATTAATATAGTACATCTAGAATGACACATTGCCTCGTGTACATACGCGAACATGCTTTCCGTGCAGGTAGCTTTTTTTACATAAGACAGAATTTGCCAAATACTATAGTACTTATTAGCATGTAAGAGTCAATGAATACAATATATAAATATATATATATTATACATGAGAATGATATATATGTATATGGAAAAAGAAATGGAGAGTCGCAGCACATTTGTGCGGCACTTTGCATCGGCGAGCGAGACGCGTCACCGTTTCTAGCACATCCAGCTATTTTGTATCCGTTGCCAAAAGTCATAATCCTTAACAAATAGCTTCCCACAAAAAGTATTACTGCGCATCTTCCAATTTGGAGATTATTATGAGTATTATATTAAAGTTTCGTAGATTGTAAGGCGTATTTTTTATGTATGCTTTTTCTGTACGCGCGACGAGAAATCACGTGCTCTCGAATAAAGAGTGAAAAAAAAAGTTTTCAAAAAGAGATGGATAAATGTATATGAAAACCCGCGCCTCTCTCGTTTTCCTCAGAAATTTTATTTACAATAATCGCTTTTATAAAATGCTTTATAACAAGAATACTTATATTGGGCAATCGTAGAGCAATGACTAAATGTCATTGATCTATCCAACGATAATACCGTGCCAACGACGTACAAATTGGCAGCCAAGAAAGCATACTGCAATATCACATGACTCTTCGAGATTCGATTAAGACGTCCGATATATTCACTTATCTTCTATACTATGTTCGCACAGTTACAAGCGGTTATACAGTATGGCACTGTATTATTCTACGTGTGAATATATATATATATATATATATATATATATATATATATATATATCATAATATGCCCACATAGGGCATACAGTGGGCCCACAATAAAAGAGTGTTTACGAAAGTATTTGTTTAGCCTATCTTTCCTATGCTTAAGATCGATGTACTCGAATTTAATCATAATAGTCATAATATCTATTATTGTTTTAATATCATCATCGGTTTTTATGAAGTTAAGACAGCCTGGTGATAACTTCATAAAATGATCAACTTTTTCATACCTCGATACCGACGTTAGAACGTTTGCCTTTTTAATCAACATCTGTTCGACGTTTAATTGTGGTGGTTCCGTTCGCGTATGCCACACGTACACCTGAAATATGCAAAAAATGTAAAAATTCGCACGATATTTCGAAAAATTGTTAAAAAGATATTAGATCGGTCAATACTTTTGTACACAAGTCCGCTAATGGCTCCAATTGATCCTTGGTGACTATTTGTCTGAGTATTTCACTCTCTTGATATCCACCTTCCACGTCGTACGAGAACCACGCGTCTTCGTGCTTGAGTAATAGTTCGAGATTGATGGCAAAACCCGCCATGTCAAGTGGAAATGGTCGGTCTGGTTTCCACGCCGCGTTAAAACCGAGTACCTGTTTAGTAGTGTTATCACAAATAGGCTTTTCTACCATTAAACCGCCGACTAAACCGACCGGCCACACGCCGACTCTTTGTATTTTTTCCATCTGAAAATAATAATTTATATATAAATTAATTGTAAAAAATTGATACGTAATGCTAAATTATAATTTTGCATTGTTATTATAAATTTCTAAAATTAATGCATTGATTATAAATTTCATGTTTGCTCTTTAGATATTTAAGAAAATATAATAATTCAAAATGGTTCTCTATCGCAATTAGAAAATTAAAAATAGCTGAAGATAATGGGAATTGAATTTCTTAGATTACAAAAAAGGAAAGTTATAGCGACTCATAATGACTGACCCTATTCGAGGAAACTGTCAGTTTCCGGAGCTGATCTTTACCTCGCGAAATAGCTTGACGGAGTAAGTATTGTCATCATCGGCAAAGTAGACGACACCTCTGTCGGATGGCTTGAGATTTTCCCTGAGCCATTTTAGAGCTGCGTTTCGCTGCTCGACTCCACGCGGCTTTTTCCAATTTGGATCGTTCCTGCCTAGCTTATAGTTTGGGGGAGTCGCCGCCGAAAGATGGGTGTAAATTAAACCACTGGTCTCCAGAAACCGGCTGACCAGAGCGGTTTTCTGCGGAGCGTCTTCCACGAGGATCCAATGGAAGTTCGGCACGTGGAGGAATGTCTGCGCTAGTCTGGTGAGCTCGGCCTTCTGCACGGGTCTGGCGAACGTGGGCGTGATCGCGTAGATCACAGACCGATTATTATCCCCTCGTCCGCGGGCGTTCTCGACAAAGAGATCGTGAGCCTCTAATATCTTCAGCAAGCTGTACGTCAGACCCTGCATAGCCTGCAGATCTCCTATCACTGGCTCCAACTGGGACCTTAGTTCATCCCATTTCTTGCATTCTTGATAATCTGTAAAATTTATCCTAGAATTAGCCTGCTGATCTGCTATTACCAGTTCCAACTGGGACCTTAGTTCGTCCCATTTCTTGCATTCTTGATAATCTGTAACATTCATCCTAGAATTAATATCCGAGAAATTAATCGATATTAGAATCGAATGTGAATAATTCTCTTATATTTATAATCAACCGAGCCACATTTTAATTCGCGATTAAGATATTTGACAATATCGCAAATTATATGCGTAGAGAGAAAGAGAATGATAGCCATAAGATGAAGCGTATGATGTAAATAGCCAAGGCTCTTCTTCAAACAGCGTAAACAGTATAATAAACTACGAGTACACGCTATATAAGCTACTTGTTTGCGCAATCTATATAGATGTTGCGTAATTTGCATAGAAATTACTTGGCTATACTTTCTTTTTCCTTTTCAAATAGAAACTTTATTTAAAAGAAAATTAAAGTTATAATTATTTTTCGAACACGCTACAGTGCACTGAAAATTTTAATATTGGAAGAATATCAAAATCTATATAATATCTTTGCTACTTTTGTTACATGAAATATCTTGTCTTAAATTATATATATAGTGCTTTATAATAATTTATTCTGATAATATTATTTAGTAAGACGTAAATCCATGAATTTATAAACAAATATTTAAAACATTATAAATAATAATTATTAATAATATTAATTAAGACAACTAATTCTTATTAAATTAATTATATAGTAATATAGTATAATAATTGATATATATTATTATTAACATTTGATATATGTATATATGTTATATATAAAATTAATAAATTATGTATATATAATTTCTCCTCTATTATGTAAAACACTTTTTATATGGATTCTACGAAGCTTAATTTTAGTTTACATGCACTGTATGCGCGCGTTTGCGTATTATTAAAACGAAATAAAGAGAACGATATGCAACTCGCGATTGTACCTATCATATTATATTATACATGAAATTACTAAATTATATATATATAATTTCAGCGCTCATCTAAAAGTTTTCCTACATAATTTCCACAAATTAAAAAATAATTAATTTACGCCGTATGCGCGCGTTTCCGTATGAAAAATTGAAACGAAGAGAACGCAACTCGCGATAATCGAGCCCTCGAATCTCGCGGGGAAATAATCTCGATACTCGCCAGCTCGATTCCGTGACAAGTATGTTATATCTACGCGCGTGCACGGCATCGAGCTGGGTGATCCCTGGAGACACACGCGGCGAGGCGAAAGCGAGAGTGACGTAAGCTAATTAGACGAGCACTCACACACTACACTTTGGATTATGATCACATTTATCAGGCACAGTATCAGGAAAGTCTTGTTACAGCGAAATGCAGCCCACATACTGGCTTTCGTGCTAGATTCCTCGACAAGTAACACACTCTGCGTCACTTGTCGCGCCATGACACCGTTCTACCTAACCGGCTGATCAAATGTCAAAGTATCGATCGTGTCACGTGACACGCTATCGAAGTCGTTCGATTATTCGAGATGGCGCGAAGCGATCGAGAGGTACTCTTGACGTATCAAATATTATTGTCTTCTCGCTGGTAAAGTATAAAATAAAGATGTTGTATTATCATTAATCTAGTAAATGTTGAAACATTTGATATTATTATTGTATGTATCGTTTGTCATGCTTTCAAACGATTTATTTCTTATGATAGTAAAAACGTATTATGTACTGTTAGATAATTATAATCATAGCATGGAGAGATGTAAAAGCTGCATTCTTCTTAATATTTCTTTACATAGTAGGCAACTGCATTATCGATGTTTCAAAATAAAATCCATAATTCTCCAAGATATATTTATATAGCGAACAAACTTGCAAATATTAATATTAATATAATTTTAATTACAATACAATAAGGCAAAACTTGAGAAGCGCGAAATAAAGAATTTCAGGTGTCGTTTAAAACAAATAAAAAAAAAAAAAAAAGAAAACTGTTATAAAATCGTGAAAGAAATAATCGATATTTCCTTCGACTATGTCGAACAGAATAACGAATCCGCCAACAAAAGCTCTCGTCGATCGGCGTTTTTGGAAAAAAGCTTGGATTTGCGTAGGAATGGAAATAAAAAAAAAAAAAAAAAAAAAAAGAAATGGAACAAGCACCCTTCGAGTTGTACACGTGCAACCCCAGATGACGCCAAGGATGCCCAGCATCCCGTTCGCGGGCGCGTGTGTCGAGGGCGCATGCCGGGACACGCGCATGCAACGGTCACGCGTACGCTCTCTCCCTAGGACAGTCAGCGACCAGTCGGCAGAGGGAGAAGAAGGCGGGGTGGACGAGTAGGGAGCGACGGTAGTGTGGAGGGAGGCTGCTGCTTTCGGAGGGTTTCCGTGCCGCGCGCAGCCACACCGGCCACTGCGACGGCCGCGGCGGAACGAACGCGTTCGTTCCGTGTTCCGTTCCGCATCCCGTTTTCTCATCCCGCTTCGCTCGCGAGGATGCGAGGAAGCCCGCCCGAGCGAAGTGTCGCGAGTTCCGGTGCGCCGAGCTCGGCGATTAATTGTTAACGAGGGTGAGTCGATAGCTCCCGCCCCGAGAGAGAGAGAGGAGAGCTCTCACGTGACACGTCGGGGGTGCGAACTGTCTGACAGTAGTACATCGAGCGTCTGCTACTACTGCCGTAGTTGCTTGTTGTGACTGTGGCAGCGACGGCGGTGACGGCGACAGGGGTGGTGGCGCCGGGGGTTGATGGTGGAAGTGGTTGTGGTGGTGACGACGAAGACGAGGAGAACGCTGCTGCTGCTGCTGTTTGGAGTTACGTTGCGCCCCTGCGCTCTGTTCGGCGGCGAGAGGGAAGGAAAGTGGTCCTCGAGGTTACGAGGCCAGGGGAGAAAGTGGGTGTTGCCGGAGCGGCGGCAGGATCGCCCGGGTTTTGCGGAACGTCGCCGGAAGTCCGGAGTGCTTCGAGTAAGAAGGTGGAAGGACGGAAAGGGAGGATGATGCTCGTCGGTCGTCGACGTCGGCCTCTAGCTGCCGAGTTTCTCGTCTATCGTGAGTATTCATTATTGGGCATCCACAATATTCTAGATTCTATCCATATTTTTTTCATCCCGTTTACTTCGAGGAAACAGACGCTCCTTTCAGATTCTGCTTGTAGAAGAATAAAGGTTGAATATTAGGAATGTTTAGGAGGTCTTTCCGAAGACGTTCGGAGAACATCCTGAGGATTTGTTAATGGTGTGCTATTTAGGGCTGGGATATTATTCCAGCATTGTTTACACTTTTCGGACGAACGACGATACGCGGTCCAGGTGACGAGGAACGCACGCAGTCTCGCATCGCGAGGAAATAGAGGTCGAATGCAAATTGCACGAGCGTGTGGATGGGTACGGTAATTGGGACGAGGGAACGCTGCTTCGATGAGCACCCTCGGTGCTATCTGGGGAGTGGGAAGAGGATAAAAAGAGAGGAGGATCTCTCTATATATAATGTACGGTTATCGTCGCGATTTTTCTCCCGCTCCCCTGCCAACCATCCGCAATTCCATTCCTCCTTCTTCTTTTTCTCTCTGTTTTTTTTTTTTTTTTTTTTTTATATTTTTTTCTCCCTCCTTGCTTTAACTTTGGTAAACCGGAATCACCCATGCGCGCGAGGTTCCTTCCTCGGGCTAACAATGAAGAATGGAGAGTACTGTGCGCGACGTATGCACGCGCCCTTTGCTCTCTTCGCGTTCTCCTTCACCCCTTTCATCATCGTTGTACGATCACGAGTACCATAAGCGAATACCAGGAATAGTACTCGAGGCTCGTCGACCGCTCGAGAATCTCCCATCTACTACTCTTCTCCCTATCATTTTCCTCCTCTCGATATACTATATGCACACTGGCCTCGATTAGTCGCTTAAGAGAAGTGTTACCGGATCTCTTTTTCTTTTTCTTCCATCCCCTTTTCCACCCAACTTTCAGAAGCGCGACAAAGAGAGGTCGCACACGCTAACTTCGTCATCGTGCTCCAGTGAGTCACGGCTTTTGATATCCCTCTCGTGAGTCAACGTTTATTCTCTCCTGTTATATAGGGGGACTGGCTACTATCTAGCTTCCTGTATGCACCTACATATATGCATCGGTAAATCTCAATTTATTTAAATCCGGAGAAGCGATTCAATGAACTTTTCTAACGCAACCTTAATTTTCAACGGTATTACGTTCAGCTCGTATCATTGCTCTCAAGTGAATAAGGTTTCATTCGTGCTATACAAATCCGATATCTTCTTTTATTGCCTCTAATCTTTGAACGGATGAAAATGATTATGTGCGAATCTGAATTGTACTGATAATGTACCATATATTCCTCAAATCTTTTTTTTTTTTTTTTTATATCGATTGTACTAAAGTTGAAGAAATTTTCTCATCCTCTTTGTTTCTTTTTAATATATAACTACCAGTCTTCTTATTATAATTCTATAATAAATGATACTTTAATTATAATTAGTAAATTTCTATATATGCATTTCATAATTATGCAAATAATATTAATTATATAAAAAATAATAATAACTGAAAGTGTACAACTTGTGATTGAAATTTGTTAAAATGACAAACGGAAATGAAACACACGTTGGCTAAAGTTGAAGGAATTTTCTCATCCTCTTTGTTTCTTTTTAATATATAACTACCAGTCTCCTTATTATAATTCTATAATAAATGATACTTTAATTATAATTAGTAAATTTCCATATATGCATTTCATAATTATGAAAATAAAATTAATTATATAAAAAAATAATAATAACTGAAAGTGTACAACTTGTGATTGAAATTTATTAAAACGACAAACGGAAATGAAAACACACGTTGGCATAAATGTCACAATTCGATTGGACGAATCTAGATGCGATTTCTGGTCGATCTTATATGAGCCGGAAATGTATATATCCTGTCCACGGAACCGCCCATGAACTACGGTGTTCAATACATAATTTAGCGAGGTTGCCTGCCCAACGCCGATAACCATCGTCGCGGTAAACTCTGTAAGAAGTGATCGATCATGCGATTCTGCGATGCAGCCACGACACACGAGGTATAAGATGATCTCGAATATTATACTTTGCGACCGTCAATCCCCTTGTCGCGTGCGTGTCACTATCACACTCGAGAGGATTACAGTCGCGCTATTCCGAGTATCTGCGAAGTAATAACTAGCGTATATACACTTGCGCCTACGAGCAAAAGTTTTTAAACGTCGCGCATGTGGAATTACGATACTGCCACGTAAGCCGAATGTTATAGCTTTCAGAAACTTTTTATTCCAATCGAAAGATTGTATCCAAATCGGATTTGCCGATGTGTTTTATTTTTGTTTATCTTCAAATTCGAATCACAATATATTTAGGATTTCTTCCAAATTATTTTAATGATTTTTTCATCTTATATTAATAATAATTAAAATCTCATTTATTATAAAATTATTTGAAATATTGCCCATTTTCAAAGTTCGACAAAACAATATTTTCCATTATTTGATATAAGAAAAAAGAATAATTTTATTATATATTATAAAATCATTACGAAGGTGATCGGTCAAAAGAATTTATGCTGTAACCTGACCAATGGAATTTAATCTTCATATATATTTAATGTTATTCCGAAATACGCGCGTGGGGGATATGTTTACTTACGCAACAACATGGATCATACAACGCGTTAATGTAGCGTTAACTTTATCAGGATCGGAAGTTCGACCTCCGTAATATCAGCAAATTTGTCACGACACGTGCGACAGCATAACACATTCGATATGCGTATACGTCATAATTTAATTACGACTCTCCTTGCTTAATTTCTTTCTTTCTGAATCTTTCTTGAATTGTGATATGTAATTAAATTGAACTAAAACAGTGCAACGACACAGAACACGCGGCGTAGAGCAAATATTTCACGAAACGAGAACCGGAGAAAGTTGAAGGGAGTTGACTCATGTTCAATTCATCCCGCTGTTCATAATAACGTAGCCATTGATAATTTAATAAACCTCGACTACTCGGAAAGTCAATTTTCGCGGAGATGAATGGAATCTAAAATCAATTGGCTATTATTAAATTGCGCTCCGCCCAAAGCGCGCTTTTACTTCACGTCTCCAACCGCGATATTCCGGGAGGGTATGTACCGGTGTACCGTTCCATTATCGATTATACTACTGTCCGACTAGCGGAATCGTATTCGATTAGTGGAAGCGCGGGCGAGATAAAGGGCACGGAAGCGGATTCAGTCCTTTCGTAGGAAAATTCCATCTCTCTCGTCTTCTCCGCCTCCTTCAACAAACGTGACTGCCGAACCGAGCAGTGCGATGACTTCAATAACGTAACAGATGTGTGGCCTAAACTTCACACACACACACATAACAGCCAGGAGTAGTAGTGGTAGTAGTACTCTGACATTTCTCAGACGTGACCGTTTTCAGAAAAGGTCAACCAATATATGGAGCAGCATTCGAGGGATCGCATTCCCGTTGGGAACAGTCTCTCTCTCTCTCTTCCCTTTTGCCCATCCTATCGTTCCAAATTTCCCTGGCAAAAAAATATGCATACGGTGGAGTACCTAAACAGGATGCCGATAATGGTGACCGTGCCTGAAGAATCGAGCATGAAAGAGTAGCTCCCGTGAGACCTCGCGATGGGAAATGAAAAATTCGCATGAAAAATCGTCGTATATTTGAGAGAAAATTATACGCGAATTTCGCGAGTGAATCTCTGATCAATCTGCTTTATTTTAAACTTGGCTCTTTGCAACTTACGTCAACCGAGTTATTCTGGAGAGCCTATGATTTTAATTATACTCCGATAAATATTTTGACTTAATAATTTTCGAATTTTCAAGAGAGAATATTATTTATTATAAATTGTATATAATATTTCATATTTTAAATGTCTTATGTTAATTATAACTTTTAGAATTTTTAAAGATATTTATTTCAGTTAAAACCCTTTTGAAAACTTTTAATCACTTTTAACGTGGAAACTACATTTAAATGTTACAGTTAAGAAATTACTTTTTAAAATTACTCTACTAAATCGCAATTAAAATTAAAATCAAAGATTTCATCGCATCGGATATATATCATTCTTGGTGCTTTATCTTAAAAACGAATTTTTCTCTCTCCAAGCGCGAGCCATCCTATTTTTCTCGACAGGTACTGGTGCCAACGTGCTCTCGTATTATCGCCAAAAACATATTTCTCGGTCGCTACCCTCGCCATTTTCTTTCCTCGCTTCCGTGAATTATAACGTTCCTGTGTGAGCCTCTTGTTGTCTCGCCCTATTTCCGGTCTTAACAATAATCAGTCAGAGTGCTTTATATCCCACCTAAAACCTTATCTCGACGAGAAAAAGACTGTGTGGTTGTATCATTTTCAATCTTTTCATCAGGGTGGTCATTGAACCGACGTATATATACGCCCTCTCTCAAAAGAATATCAGAGCAAGCATGAATATATATATATAGAGCATTGTTATATTGAAAACTGGCAAAACAGTAATTGGAGACTGTCCCAATATACTTTTATACACGTTACGTCAGAGCTTCAAGAATTTCATAATCGATTGTGTGTGTTTGTATTATTAAGTAATAAACGGTGAATCATTTTATTGCATAAGTAACATCTCAATTGTAATCGATCGAAATACTTGGCGTAATGAGTTCAAGAATCGAATCTTGATGTTCCTGATGAATAATAGATGGGACTCCTCTCTATTAAATATAATTGTCATAGCTGGGGTAATTTATTTTTCTTCTCTTTCTCTTCTTCCTTTACTTTTCATTGATTTACGTTTATTATAGTCGTGGAAATAAATAGATCGAAAAACTATAATTACGTCTTTTATTATTAATATATTTTCGATAATATCGTGATGTTTCGCGGCAAATTGAGGTAATCCGTGACTCGTTTCGAAGAAGTATTCCGGAAAATTATTAGTGGCAATGCGGTTAAGAATTATCCAGGTTACGGTGTTGATTCTTGGCTCGATCCATCGCGGTAATTAGCGAACGAATTGC